AGGGCGAAACGACCGAAACGTTGCGATACCAACAACAAAGATGAAGGCAATAGCCCGAATATAAATAGTGCCAATAATAATAACACACCGTCACAGAAATTCAATCAGAAAAATCTGAATTTGTTTTAACAAAAGCTACAAAGAGACGTACACAGTTTTATGTAATTTCATTTAAAATATTATTGCTACGTAAATAAAGCAATGTTGCTTTGATGTCGGTACGGACTAGATATTCATATGACTACCGAAAAAGTATTCTTCATTCATATGACTTATCCCCAGGAGTTGGAAAACAGCATTTCCTCAGTGAACACATTTCAGAACGCTAAGAAACCTAGTCGCTTTTAACAATGTGACGAATTTTGTTTCAAATTACCTTGAGGAGATAAAGATGGAAGCTGACTTATTTGTTTAGATTGCTTTAGGGTTCATATTTTGCATATGTACAAGATACACAATAGGCCTGTTATAAAAGGTCGCAGATGTTGCAAGATCTTGCATACACACCTCGCAGGCGCCAATGAAATATTTCTCTCAACAGCAGAACGAAGGTGGATTATAACAAACAAATATAAAAAATAAATAAATGTATTTTCACGTCGTAAAAGAGCGCAGAATAAAATATGATGTTTGCCTATCCTAAGGTATTTCATTTTCTGTTCTTTACATCTTGATTGAATATTGTTTAGAAGGTAGGTGAAGATATCTAGATATGGCACCCTACTCAAAAAAAAAAAAAGGTATAAAATGGTGTTCTGTTTAAAGAGGAGGAAACTGGCGCCAGCGGTTGATCGAATTTCAATATATTCTAAACGTGCCTGTTTCATTTCTCCTGGCGAGATAGATTAAAAATCTCCGGTTCGCATATTCTCCGACTGTCTTACACATCTAGCTATGCAACTTCACACATCATGGTAACTTCGAACAAAATATGTTTTCTTGCATACAGCTGAGAATTAGATTTCAAATACATGGCTCAATTGAAAAAGCGAATATATGTTGATATACTTAATTTTTTAGCTTGAAAATTGTATTTGCCACTTTTCAGTAGGCACTATACATGTTTAAATTTATATTTACTATTTAGTATATTAATTATATATCGTAGAATGTAGAACGATTTGGTGCCAGTGGACAGAGTGTTTGCTGGAGGATCCGTCTACAAAACTCTGGAGTCGGATTTCTGAATAAAACATCAAACATTTAAGTGACAAAGTATATATTTGTATTAATTGATGCATACAAGGTGTATCAAAAAATACTTTTACAAACTTTGGGAGCAAGTTCCACACACCAAACGAAGGACAAAAGCCAATGAAAGATAGTTAGGGGAGAACCAGTCTTATAGCTTGCACGTTTCCCCTTCCTCACGCCTTTGTATTTTTATATGTGGGGTCACCTAAAACAATTGGTTTATGCAACGGACATTAATAATGCAGAGGCACTTCATCAAGGTGTCATAGGGGCCTGCTATATCATTCGACATCGTGTAGGGGTATTTGAAAGGGTCCTTCAGTCAGTGAACAGTTTAGAAAAGCAAGCGGAGGACATTTTGAACATTTTGTTATAAGATGCTATTTCAAGCTAAAACGATGACCTTTAGTATATATATGACCTTTTGTATATATATTTATATGGATATCTTCCTTGTTTTGGTGTCAGGAACCCGCCCCAAAGTTTGTAAAAGTATTTTTGGATTGTATCTTGCATTGTAATACTACAATAAAATTTAAAATAAATAACACGAAAACGAAGGATTTGCTGACATATGTTTATATGAACTTTTGGCCTTGTTTTTGCTGTGAACAATCCACCTTTTTCATACATCATCATATATATATATATATATATATATATATATATATATATATATATATATATATTCTCTACTGTTTCCTCTTTTTTAAAATTATTCACTGTTTTCTTGATGCTTCTTGAATAGACTCTGAAGAGGGAAGCCAGTGTATGAAAATCGGTATCATTACTGAAGGACTGAATGATCTTTTTCCTTTCACGATTGCTCAGTTGAGAAGATAGTAGGCGTGGCACAAAACGATTGTATACTGTTCTCGTTCTAGCTGAATAGCTCAAAGGATTGTCAGTGAGTCTTACGAAAAATGGTGTCTAGATGGCTAAACGTCCTATCTAAAATCCTGGAAAAAAGAAACTCAATTAGTTTTGTATTTTCTTTAGATATTAAATATTTTGGGGGATGGACAATTTTCTATTACACCCGGTATTATATATATATATATATATATATATATATATATATATATATAGTTGTATATTTAGGCTGCAATCTTTCCTTTATGCATGTTTCATTAAAAACGACAGAAAAGGTACTACGTTTAAGCTTTTTATTTAATTTTTCTTGTGTTCGAACAAGAGCTTTCTTTTTCAGGACAAAGCGTGTGTAAGAACTGTCCAAATGTTTTATATTTCCGAGCGCTTTCGGTCATACCTTTAGCCATTATCAAGGATGATTCGATTTTCAGCTTAATTGAGTGTGTGCATTCTCTGTATTTCTTAGTGTGTGTCGAATCATCCTTGATAATGGCTAAAGGTATAGCCGAAAGCGCTTGGAAATATAAAATATTGGGACAATTTTACACACCCTTTGTCCTGAAAAAAGAAAGCTTTTAGAACACAACAAAAATTAAATAAAAAAGTTATTTTGTAGTACCTTGTCTGCCGTTTTTAATGAAATATATATATATATATATATATATATATATAAAATGAAAAGAACAGTAAGATATATAATCCGGTGTTCTTATAGATATTCATATTTTTACAAAAATAGTGCTCAATGTAAATTTAAAAGAGCATAATATAAATTAATTGATTTAAAATATGTTTTTCCGCTACTACAGTTCTAACCATGTTTCAAAAATAGAAGTTAAAGCCCCGAATTTAATTTTGCTATTAAATTAAAATTAAAATTCGCTTGAGGATGAAATGGAACTAATGCTTTTAATTTAATTGCAAAATTAAATTGGGGATTTTAGCTTCTATTTTTGAAACATGGTTAGAACTGTGTAGCGGAAAACCATATTTAAATCAATTAATTTATATATATATATATATATATATATATATATATATATATATATATATATATATATGTGTGCATCTCCTATATGTAGTGTTTCCTTCCGGTAATGGGCAATTAGGTATTTCCACAAGTTCCCTTCCTTTGAAGCGTTTGTTCCCTTACCATCTTTACTATTTATTGAAGTACATTAGGTATGCTGCTTGTTTTTCTCCGTCTTTCTTGCCTTCAGTATGTCCGGTGAGTGTCAAATTATCCAAGATTTCTTAACATATTATGCCCCCTAGAAATGTCAACTCTATATTTTTCATTCCTAGCATAACTTACTTTTCGATTGTGTTTTCATTATAATTTCCTCGTTCTTCAGATGCGCCGTTTATCATATTCGCATTATCATTCATTAAAACCATGACTCCATGCTTAAAGTTTCGTCTTCGTCTATAAGGAAATTTTGCAGCATTCAATGCCATATAGGAGAACAAATATTACAAACCAATCTAGCTCACTTTTCTTTGTTTCTACTGAAATTTCTAATTGAACTTTCTTGTTTCTTAATCCATAGTTTAGATTTTGTAAGGCATCATTCACTATCCGAAAACGCCTTCTTTTATGTATTTTGTTTCTGCAGCAGAGTAAGTAGTTGTCAACTTGTTTCCACTAGAGAAGTACGGCCATCAGTAGTGACTACTTGCTAGAATATTTAGCTACCCCCCCACGAGGGTTGCATGTGGCACAAGGGCGGTTTAACGTGGGTTCACCGATCCCGTAGGCTCGGCCAAAAATATTCCCTTTTTGAACCCGCATAAACGGGTTCAGGGTCAGTCTACCTCACTGAACGAGACTCTGCTCTTCGGCGGAGCCTCGTCCGGGTTCCTCTCTGCTCGAAGGCAGAGAGTTCGACTGTTTAGCTAGTATATTTAGCTACCCCCCTCGAAGATTGCATGTGGCACAAGTCAGGTTTAACATGGGTTCTCCGAGCCCGTAGGATCGGCCAAAAATATTCTCTTTTGAACCTGCATAAACGGGTTCAGGGGCATTCTACCTCCCCGGAGGAGACTCTGCCCTTCGACGAAGCCTCAACCGGGATCCTCTCTGTCCGAAGGCTGAGAATTCGACTGTTTAGCCGGAACAGGTCGCAGCTAGAATGACTACTTGCTAGTATATTTAGCTACCCCCCACGAGGGTTGCATGTGGCTCAAGGCCGGTTTAATGTGGGTTCACCGATCCCGTAGGCACGGCCAAAAATATTCCCTTTTTGAACGCTCATAATCGGGTTCAGGGTCAGTCTACCTCCCGGAACGAGACTCTGCCCTGTTTAGCTGGAACAGATCGCAGCTTGAGTGACTACTTGCTCGGACTCTGATTAGTCCAAGTGCCCATTTTATAACCAAGCAGGTCTAAACACCCACTTCTCTGGCCTAATGAGTCAGTCCAAAATAATTAAGTTTTTCCGAAATGTATAGATTTTACTAAAGAAAACATTAAATGTCTATTATAATTCACAATTTCTGTCTCATATTTTCTATCAGAAATATGCATACACAACCGATTTTGCTAACGAATGTATTTTCTTTATGGGAAAAAAAACTACGGCAAAAAAAGGACTGTTTATTTTAAAGTTTTCTTTTTATGAAGCTGTAACCTTGTTTGCACTGTGGGGGTCGAATCCTTACTTGCAGGTCGAAGTCAAATTCCATCAGCGTAAGCAATGAAAATAACCTAAATAGATTCTTCTAGTTACTTTTTTTTCTATATTGTCGTGAATTTTAAATTCTTTTTCCCCAAATAGATATCAAATTTACAATAAAAAATACCTTTTAAAATATCTCACAAATCCGATAGCTGAAAATGTTAGCAGGGGGGTAAGCAATAAAAGACGTTGGTAAATCCAGGATGGAAAATAACTTTGTCATTTCATTAGCTAAGGTCAGGTGTGATATCGAATATGCATCATTTTGGGATGCCATTGATTTTAGCGGGACAACAGTAAACCTCATTTTTAAATGCAACGGAAGTGTAAGTCAAATTTAAATATCTGCTTGTATCAGTTCAGGAAGTAAATTCAGTATCTAAAATGTCCTTTATCGATTCATACGAAGATAATTAAATAATTTTAATAAAAATAAATTAACTTTATGTATTCGTATAAAATAGTTTCTGTTTGATATTTAATATAAATTAGCTAATAGGTTTTCGTTTTACCATTCCAGTTCTACCGATATTTCCTCTAATTTACCAAAATGTTTTCCGTCCTCGAAAAAAATATCTATATTTTTAATAGACATTTGATTTAATCAATTCACCCCAGGCAAGGTGGTAAAGCCACTAAGACGCAAGGATCTACTGAAAGTGAAAGAGCAAGAAAAGACTTTAAAGGAGAAGCATAGAATTGAAGTAGAATTTAGAAGGAACCGGAAACCCAATCCTAAATAGGAAACAAGACATAAACCTCTACCTATGTATAAAAGACCGCAGAGGAGTGAGAAAGGATTATCGATGCAGAATTCTATGGAAAAAACTGGAAGTTTTAGCATGCATAATAAAAAAGATTACACAGTTTTAACCCTATACTTCTAAGTATGGTCTTGAAATATATTTACGACTGATTGGTTGATTCGTTCTTTACTTATTATCAAACATTTGCAGATTATTTAAAACCGGGAAACACTTTTGTTTATTGTAAGAATATTTTTGCAAAAAATAATGATTCTCCTGATACAATTTCTGCTATTTAACCCGTAGCTGGGTGAAAAAAGGGAAATTCATACCTTTCTTATCAATATTTGCGCGTAAGTGAAGTTCATGAACTCGTTCGAAATTGAAACTCGGCTCTCCGATTTTTAATAATGTGGCGTTATCCATTACACCACCCGCACATCCAAGAAGCTGGTATTTTCAAGCAGTATTTATCCAGGAATTCCAATGGTTTCACCAAAATCTCATGAAAAATTCTGCTTTCAATTTGGATTATTCTTATACATCAGTGTGTTTGTGTGTGTGTATGCCCATGCGCGTGTGTGTGTTTGTGTGCGTGCATGTAGATAAACATGCAAATGCAGATGTGTGTGTGCGTGTATGTGTGTGCGTACCTGTGTATTTTTGCGCATACACAGAAAAACTGATACATACATTTATTGATGTTTTTAACCGGGAGGTCTTAAGTTCCATTTTCCTTTTCTTTTCTGTGAGCGTCAAATTCTCTACACCCTCTTTCCTCATTATATGTCAGAGAAATGTCAACTGTCTCTTTTAATTTCTGAGTTTTAAGCTTCCTTTTCGCTTCAATTTTCCTTAAAACTTCCTCGTTCTTCATATGTTCTGTTTGTGGTATTCGCAGCGTTATTCTTTAGACCCACATTTCTGTTGGTTTTCTTCTTTCTTTTTTCTTTCTTTCTTTCTTTCTTTCTTTATGTCGTTATTACTTTCTTTCTTTCTTTATGTCGTTCTTTCTTACTTTCTTTCTTTATGCCGTTCTTTCTTTCTTTCTTTCTTTCTTTATGCCATTATTTCTTTATTTCCTTCTTTATGCCGTTATTTCTTTCTTCCTTTCTTTATATCGTTATTTCTTTCTTTCTTTCTTTCTTTATGTCGTTATTACTTTCTTCCTTTCTTTATATCGTTATTTCTTTCTTTCTTTCTTTCTTTCTTTATGTCGTTATTACTTTCTTTCTTTATGTCGTTCTTTCTTTCTTTCTTTATTCCGTTCTTTCGTTCTTTCTTTCCTTCTTTATGCCGTTATTTCTTTCTTCTTTTCTTTATATCGTTATTTCTTTCTTTCTTTCTTTCTTTATGTCGTTATTAATTTCTTTCTTTATGTCGTTCTTTCTTTCTTTCTTTCTCTATGCCGTTCTTTCTTTCTTATGCCATTATTTCTTTCTTTCTTTCTTTCTTTATGTCGTTATTAATTTCTTTCTTTATGTCGTTCTTTCTTTCTTTCTCTCTCTATGCCGTTCTTTCTTTATGCCATTATTTCTTTCTTTCTTTCTTTATGTCATTATTAATTTCTTTCTTTATGTCGTTCTTTCTTTTCTTTTTATATCGTTCTTTCTTTTTCTTTCTTTTGTTATTATTTCTTTCTTTCTTTCTTTATGTCGTTATTAATTTCTTTCTTTTTATGTCTTTCTTTCTTTCTTTCTTTCTTTCTTTCTTTCTTTATGCCATTATTTATTTCTTTCTTTCTTTATGTCGTTATTAATTTCTTTCTTTATGTCGTTCTTTCTTTCTTTTTATGCCGTTCTTTCTTTATGCCATTATTTCTTTCTTTCTTTCTTTATGTCGTTATTAATTTCTTTCTTTATGTCGTTCTTTCTTTCTTTCTTTCTCTATGCCGTTCTTTCTTTATGCCATTATTTCTTTCTTTCTTTCTTTATGTCGTTATTAATTTCTTTCTTTATGTCGTTCTTTCTTTCTTTCTTTCTCTATGCCGTTCTTTCTTTCTTTCTTTATCTTTCTTTCTTTATGTCGTTATTAATTTCTTTCTTTATGTCGTTCTTTCTTTCTTTTCTTTCTCTTTCTTTCTTTCTTTTATGCCATTATTTCTTTCTTTCTTTCTTTATGTCGTTATTAATTTCTTTCTTTATGTCGTTCTTTCTTTCTTTCTTTCTCTCGTTCTTTTCTTTCTTTCTTTCTCTATGCCGTTCTTTCTTTATGCCATTATTTCTTTCTTTCTTTCTTTATGTCGTTATTAATTTCTTTCTTTATGTCGTTCTTTCTTTCTTTCTTTCTCTATGCCGTTCTTTCTTTCTTTCTTTATGCCATTATTTCTTTCTTTCTTTCTTTATGTCGTTATTAATTTCTTTCTTTATGTCGTTCTTTCTTTCTTTCTTTCTCTATGCCGTTCTTTCTTTCTTTCTTTATGCCAATTTCTTTTCTTTATGTCGTTCTTTCTTTATGTCGTTCTTTCTTTCTTTCTTTCTCTATGCCGTTCTTTCTTTATGGCATTATTTCTTTCTTTCCTTCTTTATGCCGTTATTTCTTTCTTCCTTTCTTTATATCGTTATTTCTTTCTTTCTGTTTGTCTGTCTATCTTTCTTTCTGTAGAAAGAGTGTTGTAACCTTCTCTACAATTATTACTGAAACATAGACTCGTCCATCCGCTATGATTAGAACGTCTGCCCATGGAACAGGGTCAAAAAATGGGTTTGCAAAGGCGTAGTGATTGTCATTCTTACGCTTGTCGCACTGGATTATTGCATTCTCAATCCGTGTTCTCATGTGATTAAACCCTTCTTCACTCAACCTTTTTGTTCCAGTGCTTTCCTTAGTCTTACTAACCAGAAACATTCTTTTCTTTCTTCGTTTTATCTATTTATTTATCTATCATAGGCTATACATATCTATCTCTTCATCTCTCTTTCACCCTCTCTCTCTTACAATCCTTATCTTAAATTAGCGTATGTATACATATGTAAATATCTGTATTCGTTTACTTGAAAAATGTTTACTCTGTTGAATAAGTTAAAACATTTGCTTCCAGGCATTCACTGTAAAGACCTTAAAAGCCACTGAACAAATCTGCCTCACGTCACACTCTTCAACAGCCTAATGTATAATGAGTACAATTCTAAAAGGGGTCTGCCAACAAGTGTCTTTTCTTTTCCTCACATACCGGAGACCTGATACTGACAAGGGAGATTGGAAGATTTTTTTTTTTTTATCTTGGAAGGGGAAAATATGTGTTGAAGATATTTGCGGTAAGGGTAATGGGGTGAACGGCACGTCAGTAACAAAAAGAAAAACCAAACAATTCAAAATTGAAATGGAATTCAAGACAGTCATACCCACTAGCGCACGTAACCTTTTCTAAAAGCCCATACTTACACATGGAGAAATGTTTATGCATATTTGTGTAAAGAGAATAAAAGTTTTAAAATGTCAGTGCTTAGTATATTTAGATGGTAAAAAAAAGAATGTTTGAAACATCCTATCAGGTATTAAAATGCCTACCAACGATATGGAAAGATCTCTATCTATCTATCTGTCTGTCTCTCTGTCTGTCTATCTATCTATCTCAGTCTGTTCATATCTATCCCACTCTGTACATATCTATCTATCTATCTATCTATCTATCTATCTATCTATCTATCTATCTCAGTCTGTTCATATCTATCCCACTCTGTACATATCTATCTATCTATCTATCTATCTATCTATCTATCTATCTATCTATCTATCTATCTCAGTCTGTTCATATCCCACTCTGTACATATCTATCTATCTATCTATCTATCTATCTATCTATCTATCTATCTCAGTCTGTTCATATCTATCCCAGTCTGTACATATCTATCTATCTATCTATCTATCTATCTATCTATCTATTCAGTCTGTTCATATCTATCTATCTATCTATCTATCTATTTCAGTCTGTTCATATCTATCCCAGTCTGTACATATCTAACTATCTATCTATTACAATGAATATATATATATATATATATATATATATATATATATATATATATATATATATATAAGACACAGGGAAGCTATATTTACATAACATTGCAAATTCTTCGGATGTTATCAGGAATCTAGCTCATAGATTATATATATTGTCAACGTTCACTGACAAAAATACCATATTGATAAAAATTTACGCCCATCTAAATAAAAATAAATTAAATTATATCATCATATAAACTGATATGAGCACTTCATGCTGTTGTAATGTCAGCGTAGTGAGTTCAATCCCCAGTGGGTAGTCCACACTTTCGGCTTTGTGCCTCATGTAAGCTATGCTTTGAAAATCCTTTTGTCAATTCTGACGTTGTGTAATGTTAGAAAGCTCGTCTCATTAGATCAATTACAATTGAATAGTGAGTTTGAACACACAATTTCGGTGATGTGCCACGCCACCATATGAACGGACTCTTCTAGCACGCCGGACTGAATGGTAATAAATGTAGCTATTCTTATAGAATAACAGGAAAGTGAAAAAAAAAATAATATAGATCACAACATTGCAAATTGAACGAAACAGAATGAGATTAGAGATAAGAGAATATATATGAATTGTAAGAAAAAGAATTACCTATGCTCTTTGCTAAGAGTTCATCTAGCAGCAGGACAAATGCGAGAAAATTCAGTTACAAAGAGTACTATACACCCAGAAGTGTCCAATCAGTTCAGCTATGTGCCATGCGTGATACACGCTTAAGCGATCATGTATCTTTCGATACATGACTGACGAGGCAGATTTTTCCAGCAGTAGGTTGTCATTTCTTTCTGCGGTAAACCAGTTGCCATCTAGAACCCGATCTGTCCTGCTATTTACCCATAGCTGAAGGGAGAAGAAGATTCACACCTTTCCCAAGGGTATTAGCACGTAAGTGAATATAATGGATTCAACTGGGTTTCGGACTCGGCTTTCCAATTCCTCAACCCGATCCGCTATCCATTACTCCACCGTACTATACTGGCGGTGAGATTTTACCGTAATATACTCGTGTATAGTGAGAGTCTTTTACGGTCGGTTTTTACACAGAATATAGGTTGTTGCACAATGCAGAATTAATATCAGGTCATCCCATAAGTTCTGTCCGAATTTTGAATAAAGAAAACAAGTGACCAAATGTTACATTTAATTTCAGATTCAATCAACAATGTATTTTCCCTGATTATCTATGACTTCCTTCCATCTATCAGGTCATCCCATAAGTTCTGTCTGAATTTTGAATAAAGAAAACAAGTGACCAAATGTTACATTTAATTACAGATTCAATCAACAATGTATTTTCCCTGATTATCTATGACTTCCTTCCATCTATTAACAAGCTTACTAATTCCATTACTGTAAAATTCTTTTGGCTTTGATTCGAAGAACTCACAAATGTCAGTTTTAACCTCTTCCTGTGTTACAAAAGCTGTTTCTTCCAAATGATTCTGTAAGCTACGAAACAAATGGTAGCCTGAAAGAGCAAGATCGGGAGAATAAGGTGGATGAGGAATTTTCTCCCAACCAAGTTCTTCGATCTTTTGTGACGTGATTCTTGCTGTGTTGAGTCGTCCATTGTCCTGATGAAACATCACCTCTTTTCGGTTCCCTAAAGCAGGTCTTTTTTCCTCAAAGCTTGGTTCAAACACTTTAATTGCTGACAGTATATTTGAGCATTAATTGTAGCATTAAGTGGTAAGAATTCAAAGTGGATTATTCCTTGGCGATCCCACCAGATTGAAAGAAGAACCTTTTGCCCATGAAGTTCCCTTCTCAGCTGTGGCTGGGGTCCTTCCCCTTTACCCCCTTTACTGTCTACGACGCATAACATTTCGATAAAAGATCCATTTTCCGTCGCCAGTTACAAGTCTATCCAAAAAAGGTGAAACAAGTTGACGAGAATGTAGAGAAGAGCAGATGTCAACTCGGGATTTGAGGTTGTTTCAGACAATTCATGAGGCACCCATTTTCCAAGTTTAGGAACTTTTCCAAGTTGTTGAAGATGACGATGAACAGTTGTATAGTTTGAACTGAGAACCACTGCCAATTCCTCAACTGATAAAGCAGGATTTTCTTCAAGGGTTGCTTCAAGAAGCTTTTCATCAAACTGGACGTCCGGTTCGATCTTCATCCTCAAGGGTGAAATTCCACCTCTGAATTTTGCAAACCATCTTCTGCAAGTTCTTTCATTCACACATTCCTCTCCATAAACTGAGTGAATGTTTCTCGCCGCTTCGGCTGCTGAGTTTCCTTTCTTGAACTCATAAAGCATTATGTGCTTCAAATGATTCTTGGGTACTTCCATGTTAGCAGGGTTTTAATCAAACAAAATTTAATTTTATTGTTCTCTGAAATAAAATTTGATCAGTTTAAATACATCTAAACATAAAAATAATGTTCAGCTCCATTAGACATTATAAAATACTCTTTAAATTTCGTTCAATTTAACAAAATGTTAAGATTCGGAGAGAACTTATGGGATGACCTGATAGATTAAAAACTAAGCATTTTCCACGAGAGGTTGCAGTATACACAGGAAATCTTTTTTTTTCTTCTGGAGGGGTTAAAATCATCATTTTCAGTGACCGTAACCTATCTGGTAAGACCTGCATATTCAGGGTATCTTTGGCTAACGGTAGAGTCTGCTTCCGTAAGCTAAAATCTT